GACGAAGATGAAGATTCCGATTTTTTGGGGAGAGTAGCAGTTGCCTCAGAACCATTGATGAGAGTAGATACCTCGAAGTTTGGTTTTCTGGTGGTATTCCTCAAGATGCTCTAACTCGTTTCAGAAATCAATTCATAGCACCTTAACTATTGGAAAGCTCTTAAAGCAGTGGAAGTACAGAGTCAGTATTTTAAAATGTCGCTCATAGAGAGCGTTTTTTCCTCAAAGCACACTATTTTCCTCCCTGTACCACCCACTCACTACCCACGGTTATTGTGACAGTGCGCTTGCGGGCCGCCCTCAACGAGCGCTGATTCTGGTTACGCTTACCAGACCTTTATAATATCAAAAATCGAAAATCGAATAAAAAAACCTTCGAGGGATCCTCAGCTGATATGCGCTCTGCAAAGGGTGAATTTGGAGTGAGTCCAGCTGATTTTTGTCGAAGGGCATCTTCATCCGACCCCAGTTGCGGTGTTCTTCCTCCAGATACTGCCTTCTCGCCAGTTTCCGCCGATGGGGTGCTTCCTTCTCCTTTGCTTTGCTCTTTACTGTCCATGTCTAAATTTGCGCTCTATATTACTGAGCTATCTAAAAGGGACAAATGAACTAGAAGTGACTTAGCAGATTACAGAATTTTGCTATGCAAAGAGAAACGGAAAAGCAAACTTGTAGGATTAGTTTGACTACCTCGCTTACTGGTGGTCCAGCTAAGGGTGATACACTACCAAGGAATGATACAACCTCCATAGTTCGCGACTATTTATATGCTCAAAGAATTATGATCCCTTTTCATTTTAAGAATTCAGCCAAAATAGATAGGTTTACGTGCAACGCTTTGCATACTTATCTCGCAAAGTAATGTTTGTACAAGAAGAAATTAGGTGAACTTTTTTGCCCCTATAACTCAGCTGATAAATACTCTCTTGTTATGATGCTGTTTCGTGAACGATTGTGGTACTTTTTTTTGTAGCTTTACAGATCGAAGATTAAAGCCGCAGATACCTAGAAGAGACCTTTCAGCAAATCTCGTGCTGCTTTCGTTTGAAAAAAACGAAGAGTTAGAAAAAGCAACAACTTTTGCTTAACACTTGTGTTTGAAGTGCTACAGAGACCAAAATTGTAAACCGATCTTTGTCGCTATCTGCTCTCTCCTCGATTTTGTCCGGTAAAGAAGAGTGGGCAACTTTTCACTAGGACATTAGAATAAAATTAGATTTTTTACGAATAGTATATGAATCTTCGCACATATACTTAAATCTTTTGGTAAGTGGCTTGAACGGACCCAAAACATCTCTAATTTCCTATCAAAGGCTATGATTGCTCAGATGATTATTTTGTTCGCGTTAGGAAAAGAAGAGAGTTGCTTTATCCTTGAAGAGTTAGAGATCTCGGGGTTATTGCTCGCTTAAATCCAGTAGAATTCAGTTGTTGGCAGCTCTTGTGTACCGGTTATTGAAATGCATCTCATGCCTTATCTTATCGGTCCTTATGCAAGCTGCATCTCTTTTGGCGCAGGGTAAAGCCCTATTAGGCATGAGCATGTTTCTGGATCAAGCAGAAAAAATAGCTAAATGTTGAAGAGATAGAAATGGTCGCAAATTTTGGAATATTCTCGGTGTGTTACACATGGGCGTTGGTGTTTGTATCTGTTAACGTAAGACGAAAATCAGAAACTTGTCCGTTTCTATAAATTCGTCTACGTCAGATTCATTTTAACTCGGTTTCTTCCGCACCTGTGTCGGCTAGAAACCGTTTCGCTGGTTTACATCCAGTGATATTGTTTGGCATCATTATCAAAACAAAAATAGTTGTCGGCTATAAACTGAGTCACTACACTTGAAATTCGCGTGACGTTTGCGAGGGTGGCGCAAAATGTTTTGGGAGATATTATCGCCCTGCCTCATATCACTAATG